TTTTAAAGGTATCAACAAAAACTGATTTAAAGGAGTTCATTAAAAAATTAGTAAATTCATTTTCTTATTGTTTTATTATATATATATACACACACTCTCTCTCTACCCAGGCAAAAGTTTGTGAACGATGTTTTTTGTTAATTACGCAAAATGCTACATAATAACAACACATAAAATTTTAATATTATACAGCCTAGGTTTTCATATGAAATTTGATGTATTTTGTATTTCTAGTACTTTATTAATTAAAAAAAAAACGAAAGTTGATTAAATTTTAAGATGTTCACAGTATATTTGTGTTTTCTCAAAAAATTCTCATAATAAAAATATTTAAAATTATATCATATAAAAGCTATAATTTTGGTGAATAAATTATATGATTCTGTTGTATGTGAAAATGAATTCGCAATTCACATATGTGTGAAATTCAAATTAGTCAACCCACTCCATAATATTTCAATTTCACATAATTTCAATTTCACATACAGCAATTCTAAATACTTTAATGCATCTAGATTTTATTTTTTGTTATTTTTTTTCTAAATCATGATTTGCAAAAAAATTCAATTTTAACTATTTGATGATCTTTTCAAAAAAAAAGTATTTCGTTTTTTTTAATTAATAAAGTACTAGAAATACAAAATACATCAAATTTTATACAAAAATGAACAAGAACATAGGCCATATAATGTTAAAATTTTATGTGTTGTTATTATGTAGCATTTTGCGTAATTAACAAAAAACATCATTCACAAACTTTTGTCTGGGTAGTGTGTATATATATATATATTTTTGAACTTATCAATTACAAATGCCTGATTAATAATTGATTCTGCATTTTGATTTACATTAATATTAGCATGTAACCTGCTGTGAAAATTTTCAACATAATATTCATTGAAATTAACAAGATGATTCTCCAATACATTTGCAAAAGGATGTTGATTTTCTTCCTAGTATATGTAATCTGAAATAAATGCCAGTATAATCTTATTATAATTTTTTCTTTACATCTAAGAGCAAAGTCCAGATTCTAAATAATGACAATTAAATTATTTTGTATTTCCGTATAATAAGTGAGGGTCGTGTAACGTGATAATTTCGAATGTCGATCAAAAACAAAATTCCACTATGCTCATGTGATCTATGTTTGGTGATCTACAAGAATGGAACACCCAATATTTCACAGAAAAAAATATAACAAATCTCATCAGCAGCAGCATAGACTTTTATCAATAGTCATCTCAAGAACTAATAGTGGCACATAATGAGGGATGTTATTACTTTGGACATTCAGTAACTGGTTAATATTTAGAATGTGAGGAAAATTAGTCACAAAATCAACAACTGCACACACAAAAGCAGATTAGGAAAAGATAATTATATCCACCCATCACTATATTACCAAGAACATTATTGATGAGGAAGAAATTTAAATTATTTTTTTTGTTCGTTGTGTAATGGGACAGAAAACAAAAAAAAAATTTTTTTTGAGGGTCTGAGCTGTGGTAGTCTTGTGCAAAAAACAAAGCTTTTTTTAATCAAGTGTCAGATCAAGTGGTGGCCATAAACTTTTATTTTTATTTTTTTAAATGTGTAATTTGATCTATTTTTTTGTATATACTTATATAAATAATTAAAAAATTTTATTGCATTATATATATATATATATATATATATATATATATATATCCATCAACATCATTTAAAAATGATACATTATACAACTGCTGTTTGCATTAACAATAATAACGTTATTAATATACCATTCATGGAATAGTAACATTATACTGTATTAATATATATTATAATCATCCTAATAATAATATCATTATTATTATGTATGAATATACCATTCATAATATCTCAGATTCCAGATCAGATTTTTTCCGAATTTATTCTGTTCTGTTCGGAACCTTACTCCACTCTATCCAATATGTAGATTAATAAATTTTAAATTTTAAATTTCATATAAAGTCACCAGAAAGACTGGAATTTGTATTTAAATTTATGGTGAAATGAATCATAATGCAACAGTTACTAGTTCTGATGTTGAAAGCACAAAAGATAATTTTCTTCCATTAGTCAAAGAGCTTTCTGAAAATAAAATAATTTTGCAAGGAAAAGTTTATTTATGACATTGAATTAAATAATGCAACTTATAAAGAAGGCAAACCAAAAAAATGCAACAAGTGTAAATTGACAAGATATTCTGATAGAGTCTTTTCACTACTTGGACATGAAAATAAAAAAGAATTTAGTTATTTAGGTGCTCAATATGTAGTATTAAAAAGGTTAAATAATTCAAAGTAACCCAGGAAAAATTTCCTTTTTTTGATAAGGTAATTGATTTTATTTAAAACAAAAATAAACAATCATGTATTTTTCCGCAATTTGCGCAGCATCATGAAAATATCCAATTTTATTGGTGGGTTGGTGCGTGTTATCTTTATTTAGAAATTGGTTTGGCGATTTACATGATTATTTATTATTATAATACTACTTGAACAATTGTTGCTTGTTATAGTATAACTAAATTTCCAAATAATAGAAATTATGCAATGAAAATCATTTAAATTTAACATTAAAAGACAGAATTATTAATCTTTAGATATTTGTGTATTACATACATTATATGATATACATATAAAAATCAGGGATTATGTGTATTAGTTGATGAAAAATCATTGGGTAAAGCCTATGTAATTGTATCATACATTACACCTGAACTATTTAGAGGCAAAAAGAACACCAAAGAAACTGATATCTATAGTGTTGGGATGTTGATGTGGGAAGTATTTGCAGGTCATCCAATATTTGATGATAGAACTCACAATCATTGTTCAATTTTTGATACATGAGAAGGTTAATGACCATCAATATTACCTGGAATGCCTGATGATTATGCACAAATTATGTAGAGGTGTTGGGATGTGGATCCATCAAAAAGACCAACTAGTAGAGAGCCGAATGATTTTGCTTTTAAGAAATGGGAAAAATTTCATAAAAATGAAACACTGGAAACTTTGAAAAGATTATTCAAATTTTTTTTTATATATAGGTGATGAATGTGAAATTGATTTCAATAATGATGACAGAAGTGATTCACGACAAACACACAAATCACATCCAGATGCATATCATAGTAGAATATTAGATGAAGAGATTGCTAAATCAAAAAGCTTAAAAAGTTATACAAGTAATGATAGTTCATTAAATGATCTTGATTTTAACTCTCTTCTTTCAAATGTTGAAGGTGAATAAAAATTTCATTATTAATTAATTAGAAATTAACATTTAATTAATTAATAATTATTTATCTTTTTATTTACAAAATAATTCTTGTTTCTGTCATTTAACTCATATGGTCATTACAATAGTTTGACGTAGTTGTTCTTAATAAATGATCTGTAATGTCACAATTAACCTTAATAGTTGCCAAAAGTATCTCTGTGATTATTTGAATTCTTTAAGCCAAATGGCATATTAATTAATATATAGTTATTTTATTATTATGTTCATTCATATTAAGAATCCGTAATTATTTTCATAATCACTTTTCCTCCAAAATCAATTATGGCAAACAACTATAATTATGACTTAACTTTTGATCGGTTAATTGATGCCTCTTGTATATATGTGAATCTGTAAACACACTTGATGATATAAATAAGGACGGCTTTTATAAATTTTCTTTCTATTTACTTTGGCCAATTAAAAGCTCTGTTGGTTTGGAGCCATGCATTTACAACAATTCTTTAACTTGGTACAATAGCAATATGCGATAATGAATTTAGTTAATATAACTGCCATCACTTTATATTTATACCTTGCCGAACAACTTTAACACTAAGCCTCTGCTTTATATCAAAACAAACAACCAAAACCTCAGAGTCCTATACCACTCTGACAATTAAAGCTCACGGTTTAATTTCCAACAATGAAAGTTTTATCAAGTAAAATGAAAAGAATTGTTTTTTAAGTTTATTACAGAGAATATAATTCTTATTTCAGAAATAAAGAGATATGTCAAGCAAAGTCTATGAAATTTATCCATTCTCGATTTAACAATTTTAACCACACCATAGACATTGTTGACTGATCTAGATATTACTAGGTAGTATGAAAAATGAATAATATCAAAATACCAGCTAATCGTATCGCACCCATGTTGTTTGTTGTTATCGAAAATTTGATTTTGAAAAAGACCAGATAAATTAACAGAATTTAATGGATCTCGTCAATAAAATCATCTATTCACCCGAAGATAAAGCACGAAGTCACAACCATTACTCCTTAATATCAAGCCAAAAAATTGTAAAATTGTTAACGAGGTCCCTTATCAACTGGGCAGGCTGGATGGCAAATTAAAGCTGACTTTCAAGTTGAAGTAAAGTGGCCTCTTCTTGGTCATGTAAAGCCTTTCTCAGTTTTCCACAATTAAATCACCCATGGATGCGTAACATGCTAGATGTTAGTATTTTTCTCCCAAACTGGTGCCAGTTTTTATACACTGAGCAAAAAAGCTGACCGTGAAAATATCCTGCCAAACTTTCAGGAGTTCCAAAAGGCCATTTTGAACGATTTGACTGAAATAAACCAAAAATTTTCTGAAAAAAAACATTTAATTTTGGCCAGCGAGATGGGCTTGTAGAATGATAGTTTATTAAATCTGACACTCAATTTTTATAATGATTGACTTTACAAGAAATAATCCATCATTGAGTTCACATACAATTAAAATAGTGTTAAATCAGGGCGTGTACAACAATGGTTGTCTGTCATGATGTGTAACCATATTCAAAGGTATAGAACATCTAAACAAACTAGGAACTAAATAAATCACATCGGATCGTGAAAATTGGAGTCACTCACTCTCCAATAATAATTTTACACAAATGAAAAGGCAAAGGAACAACGTACAAATATCAGTCACATGATTCTCCTACATTATCGTGATTTCTATCAAAAAAAAATTTTCACATCTTTAATCTGAAAGAATGTCGTTTGAGAATGCAGACTTTACTCAAATTCTAGATGACCTATCAAGGTATATTATATTATTTTGTTAATTACTCATCGTGTGCAACAATTGTAAAAGATTATTGAAAATCCTTTTTATAGTCGTTTTATAATAAATGTCCCCGAAGAGGAATTGTCTTCCATAGAACGTATCTGCTTTCAAATCGAACAGGCTCATTGGTTCTATGAAGATTTTGTTCGTGAACAAAATTCAAGCCTACCCAGCTTTACATTAAAAGGCTTTTCTGCAAGATATATCCTTTTTCTTTCCAAATACTTGTCACAATAATTATTTCACTACAACTATATTTTCAACTTGACTCTAATAACACTTTTTGATCATTGTCCATTGCTTTACAAATGGAGAAATGAGCATGAAAAGGCGTTTGGGGATTTCATGCAGTATAAAATAAGGGTTCCAGTATGCGGCGCAATAATGTTAAATCTTACTATGGATAAGGTTTTATTGGTAAAAGGTTGGTCATCACGATCAGGTTGGGGTTTTCCAAAAGGCAAAATAAATAAAGATGAACTTGATTCAATTTGTGCCGTTAGAGAGGTACGTCAATACATACATACATGAATGCATAAATATTTATTTAGAGAAAAATAATCTCTTATATCAATATAATTAGGTGTTTGAGGAGACTGGGTATGATATCACACCATTGATTAAAGAAAATGATTTTGTTGAAGTAACAATTCGTGGCCAAAGGATCAGACTATATATAGTGGCTGGTGTACTAGAAGGTGCTAATTTTTGTCCACAGACACGTAAAGAAATCAGTGTAAGTTATTGATCAGTTATATTGTTGTTCAATAATAAGAACATATGTATGTATGTATCATTATTGATATTTTAAAAAAATAATAGAAAATAGAATGGCATAATCTTTCAGATTTACCCACTTGGACAAAAAATCGTAATAAAGAATCACCTTATAATTGTGGTGGTGGTTGTGTTAAATATGGTAGCAGTAGATATTATATGGTTGTTCCATTTGTTACGTAAGTACATAAAGCTTTTGTTGATATATATATATATATATACATATCTTCTCCTAAATTTTTTTTAATAGCTTTTTTTTAAAAAAAGTCGCTTACGAAAATGGGTATCAATACAAAAGACTTGTAAAAATAAAAACAAAAATAATAATAACAATAATGGCAGTAAGATAGGAAGGAATAAGAAACCATATTGGTTAGATGATAACAATTATGCTATAAAACCCTCGCACGAATCAGCAATCACTTGTTCTGAAAGTGATGGCATAGAAGAGGATGAAGAGAACGAAAATTTGGCTTTTATTGATGATCATGGTCATCACATAGAGGATGAAAACTCAATATTTGATCATACCACATTTATTTATCATAATAGCAATAGCAACAATGGCAACAGTAATAATTACAAAAATAATTCATCCGATAATTTTGTTAATAATAAAAAAGGTAAAGCTAAGGCGGATTTAAATTATACAAAAAATACAAGACCAAACCATGATACTAGCACCAGTAATACTACCTTTAGTGATTTTTATGAAACAGCAACAACCAGTAATAATAATAATAATAGTAATGAAACCACTAAATATGAATTGATTAATGTAAACACAAAAATGAATTTAAGATTTCGACCAATCAGGATTTCTCTGACTCCTCATGCATTTGGTGAAAAGAATCATCAACCATCTAAAGATGATTTTGCTAATAATGAAAATGATAATAAGGACGATGGTAGTAATAATAATAATGATAATGCTAATGATGATAATAATCTAATAACTAATGACAACTCTGAATATAAGCTCATCAAAGTAAATACCAAATTAAACCTAAAGCCTATATCAGTTAAAATTGATCTTGGTAAATTAAATAATAAAAACAACATTAATAATAGCACAGTCACCGCCGCCGCCGCCGCCGCCACCACTAATGATAATAATAATAATAGCGGTAGTATTAGCAATAATAATATTACTATTTCAACTCCAATTTCTTTTCAACCTAATCATAGAATACCTTTTGCTAAACTGGATCCTGACCGATCATTATTTGATCATAACACCTCGGTTGGTTTATACGAGCCTGTTATCTCTGATTATAATAAAAGAATCATTGTCAAAAATCAAAATGTTGAGACCGCCACTACCACAATTACAGCACCCAATAACAATAAAACATTTGTACCATCAATATTTAATAATTTAGAAACTCAACGAAAGAATTCATTGCTCAATATACTCCAATCGACTAAATCCATGGAATCCTCGTCATCGCTAGCAACATTGTCATCTAATTCAGCAGCAGTAATTGATAAACAATTGGAAAAACACAACAACAACAACAACAACAACAATAATAATAATATAGAATATAATAATAATATAGAATATAAAAACCAAAAAATTAGTAATAATATAGAATATAATAATAATAATAATGATAATAATAATACTTCAAACAACATACCATTGTATAATAATATACTTCAATATCCTAATACTAATAATTTCAATGCTAGTAATAATCTTAATTCAACAAATCAACAACATCGTCATCATCAACTATCTTTGGAATCATCTTCTTTTTATAATAACAGCAATAGCACAAACAACTACCACAATAATAATAATTATAATAAAAACAATGACAATGGATTATTAAACCTCATGACAACTTCCCAATCAGTTCAAGGCACTTCTGCTAATAATGCGCTCTATGAAGAAATAAGGGCACAAGAAAGACAATTACTTGAATGGATAACAACTCAAATATAATTTTCTTAAAAAAAAATTTTTTTCCCTTCTCACTCATCCTTTTTATTCTCATTATCAATATTTAGATAATTAATTGCGAAAATTTTAATCGTTGTCATCATCATCATGTATATTTTTTTAAATAAAAAAATAAAAATTTGATTGCATTTTTCACAATTCCCAAATCTGTCATTTTAGTGTACCGTATTAATATAGTTGCACCAAATAGAACCTTTTAGATTTTCATTTTTAATACAATAACAAAAAAATAGAAAAACAAAAATTTTTCCTTTAAAAAATAAAAATGGACCCACAAAACGGAATTTCTAGGTCAGAACCTTCTGTTCTACCTACAACACAACTTCCTGAATCAGCTGCTAGCAGCCATGCTTACAACAGTAGCTCAAGGAAAGATCGCTCTATTTCACCAAGAAGTGGTGGTGGTAGTGGTGGAAAAGAAGGAGGCGGCAGTGGTTATCGTCATTCATCTTACTCCCCACCAAGACGTAGAAGCCAATCGCCTAGAGGAGGTGGTTATCGTAATGGTAAAGATGACCGATACAGAGATGATCGATACGCTAGGGACGATAAATATGATCGTAGTTACGGTAGAAGTGGATATCGAGATGATAGAGGTTACCGTGACCATCCATATCCACCTGAAAGAAGAGGCCCACCAAGAAGGAGTAAACCTATTGATCGGTAATTATTTGTAGAGGTGTTTAATATGAATTTAATATAACATGCAATATATTTATATTTATATGAATATGAATATGATTTGGATTGGATTTTGGTTGAAGCGGAATGATTGAATTAGTGAATGATGAATGGATTGCAGTTAGTTTGAACGGACTAATGATAAATAATTTTCAGGATCTTTCAAGAGCTTTTGATAATATCTAACAATAATATATTTTGTTTTGACAATGTTGTTGATGACTATAAAATAATAGTGGATCTGAAAAAGAAAGAAGAGATTCAACAACACTTTATGTAGGTAATCTACCTTATTCTTTTCATGAACAAGATGTAGCTGATATGTTTGAACGATATGGTCGTCTAAGAAAAGTAACCGTTCAAACTGATCATTATACCGGACGAAACAAAGGGTAATTAAAGAAATTTATTTATTTAATTCATATAATTATATATATATATATATTAATTAATAGTAAGTGATATTAATTGCAAAATTTACTTTAAAAAAAAATTATTATCAGCTTTGCATTTGTTGAGTTTGAAGATAGAAGAGATGCCGAAGATGCCTTTGATAAATATAATGGTACTAATGTTGAAGGACGTCGATTAAAATTAGACTGGTATATTATTTTTTTAATTAAAATTTTTTTTTCGAGATTCGTAATAACAATAACAATAATAACAACAATAATATAAAAAGGGATGTTGGATTGAGTAAGAAAGATCAACGTCGTAAAGATAAATATGGTCCCGGCGAGTATGTGTACTCTTTTAATTTTATTATAATAAGTTTTCTAAAAAAATAACACAATTTCTAACAAAAAACATTGGTTTTGTTTTTCATAGCCGTTCTTCTGATCCATGTATGTACTGTTATATTTATTATTTGTGAAAAAATAATATACAAGAATTATTAGATTGAGTTGATTATTTCATTTTTATTAGATGGTCGTGGCGGTGGCGGTGGTGGCTCGCCTGTTGGAATGAGAGGATTTAGCCCAAATTACAGATCTGGTGGTCGCACCCCAAGTCCCCCTTATTCTCATCGATGATTTATACATATATAATGCTCTCTCTCTCTTTTTATTTGGAAATTGGAAATTTTAGTTGGAAATAGAAAACAATCATGTGTAACATATTTCTAGTTAATTAATTGTTTTAAAAGATTATTATTATTGTTTTGACAAAATAATTTTTTAGGGAATACTTTTTTTTAAAAAAAAAGAAACTTGGATTTTTTAGTTTAGTGAATGAGAATATATCAATATATTATATATTATTGGATTTGGATAAATTAATTGAAACAATATTTTTTTGCAGATGAATAATAATAAATATGTTTATTTCAGCATTATTCAACAACAATAGACTCAAAACATCATCATTCAACAAATTATAATCAATATATACAAAAATATTATTTACTCGTCTTTCTTTATTTGGATTAATTTTTTTTTATATAATTATAATATTTTATATATACTTTTATACTTTATAATCTTTATATTTTACAACTATTTTTTATTTTATTTTTTTAATTCATATTATTTTATTCCTTTATTTTATTTGCGTATTTCATTTTATTTTATTAATCTTTTTTTTATTTTATTTTCCTAGGGAATAATTAATAATTTAGAAATGATTTGAATGATTGTAGAGAATGAATGAATAAATAAGAGAGGAGGAGAAAAGTTGATATTTTAAAAAGAGAGATATATATATTTATGTAGAGAGAGCGACAGATGAATATATGTTGAATAAAACTTTACAAAAATAAATTAGATCAAAAAAATATATTATTACGGTTGTTGACTTGTAATGTTGATACACGAGGTCTGTTTTTTGTCTCCTGTGCTTATTATTTTTTACTATATACCTTTTATTTTTCATCCTTCCGCTTCTTTTTGAATTCTACTGCTTATTTCTCAGTCTTTCTTCTTTTCTCCCTCGTTTAATTTTTACTAACATACATAATTTAATATCAATGTAATATTTTTTATTCTTTATTAATTATTTTCGTTTATATGATATATGATATTACATTTATGAAAATGGATTTTACATATATATGTGAAGATGTGTCAACAACTATCATGAAAGAGAAAACGCACTTTTGATATGCTAATTTGGAAATTAGCTGTTAAGATATATTCAATCATTCAATACGAATTATTGAATGAAGTGACTTAAATGAATCCGTTGATACGTAATGAATCAATATGATTGATTAAATCAAATATGAATAATTGGTGGGTGATGCTGACAAACTAATAATAATAATAAAAAAGGTGACGAGATATATGTTTATTTTAAAAATAATCTTGTTGGCTTGACTAAAAATTAGAATTTGTGCATCCTTTCCTTCCGTTCGTTGACTAATACTAATGATAATACTATGAATTTATAACTGTTATTACATATGAAAATCGCACCAAGTTGGTTTATATTTGTTTTTATGTAAGCATCCAACTTGGCTGATTTCAATCATCCTGAACCTTGACCAATATTATATATTATTCACCAGTTTAATACATGATTGTTAAAGTCTGTAACATTAAATTTCTGGTCAAAAAAAAACTAATGATGACGATTTGTATTTTGTAATCATTTATCCCATTTATTCTATAACATTTCTTGATTAAAAAAGAGTTTCAATATGTTAACACATAAGATAAATATTTGATGAGAAGATTTGGTATAATACCTATGTTCTACACTCTTTTAGGCATTGAAGTAAATATGTATATAAATACTAGCTTTGTGTAGCATTGAGCAAGACTTTTAAAAGGAACACATGACATAAATGCATTGTTTAATAATTTATATATTTTTTTTTAAATAATTTCCATAGTTGACACATAAATTATTATGTCTTCGCCAACACAAAATTTATCAATAGAATATCCATTATATATTTCAGATTTATCAGATACAGAAATTAAAGAGGGAGCTTCTCCGGACTTTTATTCCGCCAAAACATCTATAGCAAGTACACCTACCACTGATTATTTTCCTGATAATGAAGAATTGTACGATAATCAACCAAGTGATCTCCCAGAAATTCCAATAACTTACAATAGAGGTCGACGAACTTCAGTTAGCGCAGAATCAATTGCTCCAAGTCAGAATAATGAGTATGTAAAAATTGTCATTCCAAAGACTGAACAACAACGACAAAGGATTGAAACATCAATCTCTAGCAATTTTCTATTTAAAAATCTTGATGAGGAACAATGCAAAGATGTGATCGATGCCATGGCAGAAATAAGTGTAAATAAAAACGAAGAGATCATCAAACAAGGAGGGATTGGTGATTTTTTTTATGTCGTGGAAACTGGTAGCTTTGATGTTTATGTTTCAAAAAATGGAGCACCGGCAGAAAAGGTGATGGATTATGGACCAGGTGGAAGTTTTGGAGAGTTGGCTTTAATGTATAATGTGCCTCGTGCAGCTACCGTTGTAGCAACATCGGATTCAGTTCTTTGGGCACTTGATAGAGTGACGTTTCATAGAATTTTGATGGAGAATACATCTCGTAAGCGACAAATGTATGAATCATTTCTTGAAGAAGTACCACTTTTTAAATCACTGGAACCCTACGAGAGACACAAGATCGCTGACGCATTGGAATCCATGGATTACGAAGATGGTGAATTGATAATTAAGCAGGGAGATATTGGCGAGGATTTTTATTTGATAGAATCTGGAGAAGCTACGGTAACAAAAGTTGATGAAAATGGCGTCGAACATGAATTCCTTGGGTTAAAAAAAGGAGATTATTTTGGAGGTAAACAATTTGTCATTTGCTGATTATCATTATTAATAACAATAATTAATTAATTTTTGATTTTTGATTCTTGATTTTTTTTTTATTAGAACTTGCATTACTTAATAATAGACCACGTGCAGCGAGTATTTCAGCAAAAGGTAGATTAAAAGTAGCCACTTTGGGTAAAAAAGCATTTGTTAGATTGTTAGGGCCAGTTGTTGATATATTGAAAAGAAATAGTGACAATTACGAAACTGTCACTCGTAACGTTACTATTCAGCAATAAATTAATTATAATAGATCGTTAGACAAGAAAGGGAGAGGGGGGAGAAAATAAATTTTATTTAATTTTTGTAGTAAATCAAGAAAAGAAAAATAATATAATATTTATATACAATAATTATTAATTTACATACATGCTTTTTTTTCATTTATAGATGTTCATCTCTCTCTTTTTTTTTAAAAAAAAATTTCAATTGTTTCACTTCATTATCATCCATCATTATTCATTACTATTCTTATGTACATTCCTTTTATTTTTTATTTTAAAAGAACATTTAATTGTTAATTAATTATATTATGTAAAATATATACGTGTATATATTATATATAAATTATATTTTATATATGTATTTTATATGATTAACAAGTGGAAAAACATATAATGATTGACCAATTATTTTGTTAAATCTCTCTGACCAGGAGAGACACTCATTGGATCTTTTCTATATTGAGAGTGTGTTGAAGAAGTGTTGTTCAATATACATGTTGACTGGTGTTGATGGTTTGTGTCAGTGTATAGGTTCTTATGGGATGAGATGTTAAGAGCATTCTTGATGCATCAGCAATAGAAATGGCAGGCTGAATGAGGATCCCAAGGCTTTATATATAGCCGCCACATTTAAATGAAATACATGATGGTTGATACACTAAATACCAAGTGATTTGACATTAGTGATCTTACCATCGACAATTCTGCGGGATTTCCGAGCCTAGCCTGTTGGAAACACCATACTCAAGCTTGCAAGGATTGGTGCTCATTAGTCATTCCAGTACTGCAATATCTTCTATGCCGCTTCCCTCATCTCACCATCACCTCTACGAGCTGTCCTCTTACACGAGAATTGACATCTGTACCAATTAACATAACTGGCATTGTTTTCCATCATACCTTTTCCAACAATTTGCTCTATCCAACGTTGATGATCATGATGATGCCTAACTAAGACCCATAGGCTTCATACATCCGGCAGTCCCATTTTTAAGTGGCTTAGGTCTATAAAAATTATAACTATCAAGGCCCCCGCTAGAAAAGCACTATAGAGAGACAGAATCGATGATATATGCTAGTTAACCCTTTCAAAATCAATTCTTGAAGAGGGATCCTAACGCGTATTATTCATCCTGCCTGACTATATACTGAGCTCATCAAATAATTTTTCGGGCTCAGAAGCCTGCTCTTGTTTTGGGACATAATTAACAATTTATAGCGATTTATAGTGTATATAAAGTATATATGGCTTATATATCGAGTATCTTAGCTTTTATCAAATATTTATACATAGATAATCTCATTTAATTTTTTGTGTTATTTTGTACAAGTTTGACATATTTTGTAAAGTTTAAGCGAAGAGAAGTACGTTCTAAATTGGAACGCGGAAAAATTATGTGATCGAATAATAGCATACATGCATGGGAACAAGGGCACTTTGTGCCTGGACATCGACCTACTGGTTTTATATACACTATATGCGATCGGTTAATAATATACCCAATTAATCACATTTTGCAATGCAAGCTAGAAAAAATATTTCACGATGGTCACGCATATTGGGCCATCGCTTGATTTTTTTACGAAATAAAACATGTTTGCCAAAAGCAACAACTGATGCAATTTTGAAATATATATTCGTTGTTACATGTTGCAAATACAATAAAAAAAAGATTCCAATTATCAATTCTGATATATAATGGGACCCACCATCATACTAGAGATAAGGATTTTGAGCTTTTCGAGACGTCTGGAAATCAGATCTCCTAGTTTTCGTTAATAGCTTTTAACTCATTGGCTAAAGCCATATTTGCTTGTTTAAAATCCGCCTTGTATAGAGTAAATTCGTTTGAATTATGTTGATTTTGATTAGTCAACTCACGGATTCTGTTTTCGACTGACTCATGTTTATTGACAAATAGTGATATGGCATTAAATTATGTAGAATATATTTTTTTATTTTAAAAATGAATTCAATATTTGAAAAATACTTTAATGAAAATGAAAGGTTGTTAAATACTGAGGATTTTTACGATGTAAAAAATATATATTGATGTAGACCAAACATTAGAGAATACGTCTATAATATCAGCTCATTGTCCATTTTTTAACAATGAATTAAGTAATGAAACAAAAGAAAATGGATATTATATTGTTAATATTGAGAAAGCTAATATTAGTGAAAAACTTTTCAGCCCTATTCTCAAGTAAATTTATTATTCATCTATTTATTCATTTTATTTATTTATTATATATAGAGTTTATAGATGATAAAAATGTTAAAACAATATATATAAATGTTGAATATAAAAATGCCAATAAAATAATAAATAAATAATATTAAATGATGATAAGAGGCATGGTGATAGGTCACTTCAATCAGGTTAAACTAGTGATGTTAGCCAGCTAAGGTTTTCTACCGGCTAATATCACTAGGTTAAACTACAAGGAAGTTTGCTTTAATTTAAAATAGATATCATGTAATGTTTTAATTATGCAGTTCCTTATTATTCCAATAATCAGATGAATAAAATTTATTCATAAATTTAAATATCTAAATTTATTTGATTAGAATCTATAA